GAGAATGGCGCAAGTTCGAGATCGCGCAAGGAGTGTTGCCCGAAGTTTGAGATCGCGCAGGAGGCTACTTGCGCTAAACCTGTTCTTCTTTCTGGATGAGTTGCGCGAAGATGCAGAATCGCTCAACTCCAGCTTAACCTGTACGACAACTTTCTGGGTGCGATTTTTCACAGAACAAATCCTTGCAAGCCTAGAAACACTTTCCTGTAAACATTTTCCGTCAAAAATGACAACAAAAACAGAACAAAAGATCGCTCAAGTGCAAAACTTCATCGATGAAGAATCGCGCAAGAGCCTTTTTCAGCCTTCAATCGATCGATCAGCTTCGACTCTGATACCAGATGTTAGGTCCCTGTTTTCTATTCTAGAATATGTATGGAAGAGTGATCAAATGAGGATGAAGCTTTCCATTGATGTGTAGAAGGTTTTACATAATGATATGAAAACTTAGCGTAGAAACCTTTACACGAGAATAGGCTCTACGGCTCTAGGTATAAAATATCTGGGAAAGCTTAACATACTCATTCTCATAAGGGGCATATTTATAGCCTTGGAGAATGGTAGGTTAACAAATGATTGGGCTCCAACTTTAAGGAGGCCCATTCCTATTTAGGCAAAAGAGCCTTTACCAAATAAAGCCTATTCTATGGATAAATAAATTATTACAAAAAGGCCAAGTAACATTGATCACAATATAATGAAAATATCTCTAACACACATTGTTTTACAACCCAACACAGATGTCATACAATAATCAATGTCCTAAAAGGCAATAGGCATTTGCTTAGTTGGGCTCCAGCCCAGCGCCTAGAGCCTAGGAGGCTAGGCAAGCGCCTGAGTGAGGACTAATCGGAGATATAAAAATTATATTTTTATCAATGTTTTGCATAAATATGATCTCATAATCAATGTTTGCATGGATGATATTAACATTTCATAATATTAAAATTTAAGAATATATACAAACATATATGGTTAAAGTTAAAGGTACATATATGATTTAGAAAAAGAAATTAAAAGAAAAAACGTTCACCAAATCTAAACGCCCTAGGCGGTCGGTTAAGCTATGGGCCTACAACTAGGTGGCTTAGCTTGTTGGGTCATGGGGATGCGGGCTACACCATGCTGACGCCATTAAAACATGGTGCTTGACTGATACACAAGTATAAGGAAATAAAGTTATATCTTCGCTATCAGCTATAGGCCTCTAGCTTTTGACATAGTTGTATGCGCTGCATCCTGACAACTTGTATCAGAGAAGGTTATGGGTGCAACAACATATCATGCTACACAATTGTAGGCTGGTGAGTTGTGGGGGATATTGTAGGGCCTTGGGGATATGGGCCAACAATCTGTCATCCTGCTGGTGCAATAAAATCATTGTGTTTGATTGTTATTTATGCAAGTATAAGAAAATAAAGCTACGCCATCGCTACTAGCCATAATATTTGGCGTAGTGGTAAGTGCTTGATCATGACATGCATGGCTGAGTAATATCACTAGGCGTCAAACCAATTAGTCGGGATGTCTAGATTAAAATTAGGGCGCCCGACCACTTTTTAGCGCCTAATCGGGGACTAATCGGGCGCTTAAAGTGACTGTCAGAACAATGACAACAACTAAGGCCTAATTGTTGTCCGATAAAACTTACCTTTAGTTAAGTCAGCATACTATCATCACATCTAATTCAACTTTGATGCACTCTTCCTTTTTTTTATTCAAAGCAACAAACAATAACATTATGACAATGTATCAAAACTCTCTTAACTAATACAAGTAATAACTTTGATGCACTCTTCCTTTTTTTATTCAAAGCAACCAACAATAACATTATTACAATGTATCAAAACTCTCTTAACTAATAATAACTAAAATAGCATCTAACCATTCAAACCCCACACCCTGACCCCCTTTGATGATGGGCGGGGAGAGAGACTTTTATGGAAAATGTCTCCGGAAATGTTGGAATTGGTCTAAAAAAGGACACAATATATCAAGTGCAGCATTTTTAGCATGCCACATCAGACTGGTGTTACATTAGATGTATTGTAGAAATTTATCATTCTATTGTAGCATTTTTTGCTAGAATAATGTTACAATAGATACTATATTGTAGCAATTTCTATGGTGCTACAAAATGGATGCTACAATAGACACTTTTTGTACTAGTAATTCTACGCACATGGCATGGCTATACCACCACAATTTATTCTATCACATCATATCTTAAATAGGTTCACACATTGTTTTAGAACCCAACACTCTATGTCATATAATCAATGTTCTAAAAAGCATTAGGCGCTACTCAAACACCTATCTTAAATTGGTTCACACATTGTTTTACATAAATATGATAAGTAATTAATGTTGTGTTTGTGTGTATACACACACACACACCACACTAACATGCATGAATGATAGTAACATTTAATAACAATAAAATCTAAGAATATATACAAACATACTACATATATAAATGTTATCTTAATCTACAAGTAGCTTTCTCTAATGCTAAAGTTAAAGGTACATATATTGATTTACTTTTTTGAAAAATAAAATAAAACGCAAAATATATATATTTAGCGAATCTAGAAGCCATAGGCAGCCGGTCAAGCTCTAGGAAGGCACCTAGGTGGCTTGTTGGGCCGCGGAGATGCGGGCCAACAATATCATGCTGCACAACTATAGGCTGGCGGGTGGTGGGGGAGATTGTAGGGCCACAATGATATGGGCCACCAATCTGCCAGAACGATAAAATCATGGTGTTTGATCGCTAAGAAATTAAAGCCTGTCCTTCACTACCAGCAATAACTATTGTAATACCCGAGATTAATTTAAGAGGATTAATAGTACTACTCATACCAACAAGGTGCATCTCCTTTTAAGGGAGCTCATTAGCCAAGAACTCCAAAGTTAAGCTTGCTTGCATGGGAGTAGTCTTGGGATGGGTGGCCCCCTGGGAAGTTTCTCAGGGCGCGCACGAGTAAGGACAAAGTGCGCGTAAAAGACTAGCGGCGGTTTGTGAGGATAGTACTAGAGGTCTGGAGGGTGTGTGGAGTAACTACCTTGGGTCCAGCAGGGCCGGGGTGTTACAAATGGTATCAGAGCAACTCTGCGACAGTGTGCTAACCCGTTGGATATCGGGCGGGGGCATTTAGCAGGGGAAAAAGATTCTGGGGTGTAATTGAGATTAATTTAAGGGCGCAACGAGGACGTTGCGATCCTAAGTGGGGGTGATTGTAATACCCGAGATTAAATTAAGAGGATTAATAGTATTACTCATACCAACAAGGTGCATCCCCTTTTAAGGGAGCTCATTAGCCAAGAACTCCAAAGTTAAGCGTGCTTGCATGGGAGTAGTCTTGGGATGGGTGACCCTCTGAGAAGTTTCTCAGGGCGCGCACGAGTGAGGACAAAGTGCGCGTAAAAGGCTTGTGGCGGTTTGTGAGGATAGTACTAGAGGTCTGGAGGGTGTGTGGAGTAACTACCTCGGGTCCAGCGGGGCCGGGGTGTTACAACTATGGAGCCGGAGGATTTGCAATTTAAGTTCCATAAATTTCAATCGTGATCGTTATTAGTCCTGTAACATTACAGAATTGCTGATTGGGATAAATTTTTGTCCATATTAAGGACTCTTCCTCAAGAAAATATACTTCATAGTAAAAACGTAGCCCCTTCTAAAAGGCATTGCCGACATCAAAACTTCCTCGAGAAAGTGTACTTTTTAGTACAAAAGTCAATAATATATATAATAATATGAACGTCGGATTGATTACTTCGCCTTGTCTCTGCCTCGACTCAACTACAAAATTTCAAGTATCCACAAAAAAGGCGCAAATTGCAAGATGTTTACTCCCTTCACATAGTCACCTCTCGGCTCAGAGTGTGGGGGACTCCTGATAGAGTATATGAGCTTTGGCCAAAGAATCACACATTCTCATGATATGAATAAACAAATTACCATGCAGGTACTGGACTATTCAACTTGAATGAGCCCCTTAGCCAGCTGAGGCTCGTCAGCACAAAAGTCTCCAAAAATCGGTGAAATTACAGTACAAGTCACTGAATCAGCGGGCCGTATAGCCCCCCCCCAAGCCTCAACACATCGCCCTGGACACCTTATCTCTGACACCTCGTCTTGAACACACCCTCGGGGAACATCTAGCAGATATCACACATTGTTGTATACTTACTAGAATAGCTCAACTCATGTATACTTACTGGTAATTGGGCCTACTAGGCCCAAGCATGGGAGCCCATACCACATTTATCCTATAAGTATAATATTTGTTTGGGGTAAGTGTAAGGTTTCGAAAATCTTTAATACCGGATACCCCCTCTCTCTAAATTTGTAGTTTCCTTCTCTCTACAGTACTTAAGAACTATCAGTTACGTGTTGTTTAATTTAATTTATATTTACATTTATATGTACATTACGTTGAGTTCTCACTGAACATCTTTAATGCAAATATGTTAATGATGCATATGTGATATGAAAGAGATAAAGAAATAAAAATTAAAAAAAAGAACATCTCTATCAAAATTAAATAAGTGGTCATTTAGATAAAAAAAATAAGAAAAGAACATATCCATTTAAAGAACATATATATGGATTTGGATAATTTTTCTTTGAAGAGTGAAATATATATATCATTTAGACCTATACGGTCTTATGGATATTGTGGTTATCATTCTTGATAAAAGTTAACTAAAAATATAGAAGTTTGTGGAATGAAAGAGAGGGAGTTATTGATTTTAACTTTATGTGTATATTTCCTTAATGTCGCACGCACAACATGCACGTTCTTAAATTGTATGTTTGGATGTTTTTAATTAAACTAGTTTCAATTTCACACAAAATTATGTGAAAACAGATTTAAACAAACCTGACATAAATAAATTAGAAGAGATCGGAACAAACTAGTGCAAGGAAGATCAGATTATAGTATATCAGATTTAAGTAGACTAAAAGCTAGACTAAATAAGACCATATCAAACTAGAAAATTATAGTCCAATAAAAACATATATATACTGCTCATTCATGTGATTAACTTGTGCTAGGTTGACTCGTGGGCGCATGCTCAGAATTGGCCGGTAGCGGCCCATTAACTTGCTGAGACCTGTTCTCATAATATAGGCATATAGCTAACTAATTGTGATTGGCCTTTTTTTTTTTGACGCAAAAGGCTTAATTCATTTCATCAATCACAATGTTCTCAATACAATAAGGAACAGATAAAAAAATTGTGCAAGAAGCATAACTAGTAGATGCTCTAGCAAGAGCATGAGCACTACTATTAGCTTGTCGCCTAGCAAAAACGACACAGAAATCGTTATTAGACCCAACAATATTCCTACAATCATGTACTAGAGATCCATATTCAGATCGATCCTTGTGTGCGTTGTAAATATCATCCACCAACTGCTTGCAATCAGACTCGAAAATAACTCTTGTATACTCAGTCTCCTGCATCCATTTAAGAGCTTCCCTCAAGCTCCAAGCTTCTGCCTCAGCTGGACTCATTTCCGCTCGCATCCATGAAGTTCGGGCCCTGGAAAATCTCCCCATATGATCCCTAACGCAGCAGCCAAATCCCACTCGTTTATTTCCTGAAAAAATTGCAGCATCAATATTGCACTTAACAAAACCAATTTGTGGCCTGCTCCACCTGATAACATTTTGTTTGCTTTCCTTTCTATCACCTTTCGAACCTTGGCCAGCTTCCCATGAATGTAGCACTTCAGCCCCTCGAGATATCACCTGAGTAATCGTTTCTTGTATACCATCCCAATATAAAACATTCCTTTTCCGCCAAATGCTCCACATAGTCATCCCAAACAATTTCAACTTGTTATCAGATAACTCACTGATCACAGTTAAGAAAAATTCCACGAAATTTTCAGCCCTATCCATGACAGTGTCCAAGTCTTCCCACATACCTATCTTTCTCCAGCAAGCTATACTATCCGCACAAGATAGAAAAATATGCCATGAGTTTTCCGGTCCACCATTGCACGAATCAACTAATTGTGATTGGCCTGACATGTCAAAATACGGGAATGACTATTATTGTAACAAAATACGAAAGTCGGAACTCCGAATTCCGACTAGGGATATCTATTTTTAAAATTAATAAAAAAGTTCGCTCCTGTTGGAATAGCTAATTCCGACAGCCAAAAGTTTTTTTTTTAAAAAATCCTTGGACTCATTCCCACCACAAACCTTTAACAACCGGCCAACTCAATTTGATAGAAAAACTTTGTCCAATCTGATTCAACCTACAAAAAACATTATGTAAAATTTAAACAGATAAATAACTTAAAATTCAATTGGATAAAATTTAGCAGATAAAATTTATCAGGTAAAATATATCAAATAAAATCTATCGCATAATATTTATGAGATAAAAATTATCAAATAAGAGTAGTCCACTATAGTAATAATCTTGTATTACATTTTCGAATTTTTAATTATAGTACATTATACTAGTAATGTATCAGATAAATTTTAATCAGATAAAATTTCACCAAATAAAATTTCTGAGATAAGATTTCATCCAACGCATCTACATATTTTAAAGGAATAATGGACAAGAATAATTCCAACGATTGGTTATCTGCTTAAAATAATTCGAAGTATCAATTTTCTCAAAATAATCTCAACTGTTGTAAAATCTTCTCAAAATACTCCGGTGACTTTTAATTATCCATTAATAACTTATACAGAATAATATTTATGAGTAAGTGGAGTATTTCAAATAGATTTTTCAATAGTTGGAATTATTTTGAGATAATTGATACTTTGGATTATTTCAAGCATATTTTTCATTTTAAAAAATATCATGGTATTACTTTTACAAAAGTACAAATAATTAACCTTTCAAAAAAAAATACAAATAAATAAATAAACTTACACATGTATTTTCATAAAAATGGACTTTATTTAAAAAAGTGGGTCACTTCAATATTCATAAAAAAGTGGACCTTATTTATAATAAAAAACATCTTTTCGGAATTGTGAAATCCGACACTAGAGTTTAATGGATTTTCGAAAATCTATTGGGAATTACTAAAAAAACCTCTAGTGGGGTTATTGTTTAGGTATATGTAACATTTTCCCGTATTTTGGGAAATCACCCCGCTTGGACTTCTGGAATTACTTTTTTGTGTGTGGCGTTTTTTGCAAATTGCTTTCGATATTGCATGTTTATTTTCGTGAGAAATGCATGCATTATGAAGGTTTTGTGTCTTTGTGGCTAGTTTTGTAGTTATAAATCGATCGACTACCTGTTGTACCAGCAAGCCTAAAATTATCATATAAAATGCAATTTATTGGTATAGATAGTTTGGTAGTTTTTTCTCTTCTCGTTCATATTTTTTGTTTCGATATGATGTATAATACTACAATGGATAAATGAGCTAATGAAATGAAATTATCATTATTATGGTTAAAAACTAATACGGAGTATTAGACATCACGGGAACACCTATATTGGTGAAGAGATTGAAGCATACAATGATCAAGCAGTGTGTCGTCATTTATTTTATTTTATTATGTTTCATTGTCAAATTCAAATTATATGGTAGTAAAAAAGAAATATTTTGATGAAATGGAGCCCAACAAAAGATATTGTCCCTTTAAAAAGAATTTAGATACGACACACGTGGCAATTGTCTCCCATGATAGAATAGTTTAATGTTCCAATAGGACTCCAAAAAACTAAAAAATGCAACGATCGATTAAATGGAGTATGACAAGAGAAGGGAGAATGATTTTCGGACGTAGACCACGAGACTCTTTTGCCCAAAACACACCTTTAAAAAAAAAGTTGTGGCCTTTCTTTAAAATTATAAGATTGTGCTTACTATGCCAAAGTTTTATCTGAAAATAGGGATAACAAATGCAACGATTTAATACATTCCCTTAGGACTTCGGAAACCTAAATAATGCAATGATTTAATGGAGTATGAAAAATAGAAGGAAGGATTATTTTTCGGATGAAAACTAATTTGACGTTAGTCCCTTACATATTTTAGCTGGAAAGTTACCAAAACATCAACTTATGAAACCATTTTCTAACAAAATGCTGTGTAACTATTTTAGCTGGAAAGTTACCAAAATAATTTTCTAACTTCGGAAGCAAATTATCTTTAAATCAATATTAAGCACACACGTCTTTGTAACTATTTGAATCTTCAAGTCACTATGACATGAGGGTGTCATAAACTTAGTGTGATGATGTCAGCACGGGCGGACGGACACCCGTCCTGATATGTCTCACCAGAAATTAAGAGCCCGTTTGGTAGCACCAAAATCGGCTGTTTTGGCTGATTCTGCTGAAATTTATGATATTCTGGCTGGAGTGGCTGTTTTGGCTGATTCTGCTGATTTAAGAAAAAAATATTTTAAAAATATATTTTATTAATAAATTAAAGAAAAAATTATATGTAAAAATAGCTAAAATGATCCTCTACAGTAACTTCAGCCAATACAGCCAGAAAAGTAACTTCAACCTTATTTTTTCGGCTTATTACACAATTCAGTGCGCGAAAGTAAAAGTTACGTGTTTGGTGAAAAAGCTGGCTGATAAGCCTGATAAGCCGAAAACAGAGTTCTCCAAACGGGCTCTAAAGCTATTTTTGCTAAAAGTGTGTGGTCGTGGCCAGATGGTAATTGACACCCTTGACCTCTGACTCGTTGAACTGGACCTACTCTGAGGGATTTATTGGTATCTTCAGCATTGGTGCTAGCCCTTATCGAGCCCATTGCATGCTAGAGGCTCGTCATCCGATTCAAGGACTCTATATTCCGAATTATCTTTAATTTGATTTTTCGGACCAAGAATAGATGGTAATATACTCCATCAAATATAATATCTAGCTATATTGTGGAATAATGCTCTTTTTTCTCCTATTCCAGAAACTTTCTATTAGTTTAATTTGTCAGGGTAATATCTTCAATCTTTACAGTGTTTAAGTTCATGTAGGGGCATATATAACCCAATGTGTCTATGGGTCGTTTCAATATTCTATATCCTGAATTATCTTTGAATTGATTCTTTGGACTGTGAATAGATGATAATATACTCCGATCCATCAAATACAATATCTAGCTATATTTTGAAATAGTAATTGTTTTTTCTCCTATTCGGGAAAATTTCTATTAATTTAATTGGTTTCATGGTAATATTTTCTATTAATTTAATTGTTTAAGTTAATGCAGAGGCATATAACCCAATATGTTGATGAGTCATTTCAATATTTCTATAACTAATTAATATTATACGTAGTATATGTCTAAGATATGGAAATCAAAATTTTAAAATATAATGAGCTATAATTGTTCATTCTAAAAAATGCATTGCAATTTTTTACATTACAAGAGTGGTATATTTTCCTCTTTATTAATACTTTCGAACACTATTTATTAAAAAGGATTGATGGATATTGATACTAAAAATACACCCTAAGAAAGGTTTTTTTGACATGAACCGTATATTAATTGTACTCCGTCTGACTTAAAAAAGATTCGTCAAACTGATTTTGTTGGTAAATATAATACCTACCAATTTTGACCAATGATATTTTTTTATACGAAAACATTTTGGAAATGAAAATTATATCAAAATGTTCCTTATTCAAAATATTTTAAAATTCTTTGTATATTCTACATGTATATAAAAGGGTTTCACTTTTTTCCCAGTTTGCAAATTTTTATTTTTTATTTTAACTTTTTAAAATTGTTTATCTTTTTTTTTACATTTATTAGATTTTATATTATTATTACATTATTTTTCAAATTTAAATGATTTTTATAAGATTTATCAATACTCCTATTTTTTTAAAACTAATTAACCTGCTATTGTTGGTCAAAATGGTATGGTTAATTGTATTTAAAAAGTAAATGTACTCATATGATGCTTTGTATTGTATAAGGACTAAAGTGATAAATTGAAAATAGTAGAAGAGTCTATTTAACTCTTTTTCTAAATTCTATACAAATATAATAATTAAAATATTTGTCTAAATTTTTCAACAGTATTGATCAAGAAAAGTCAATATGATCAAAATCATTTTGTGAGTACTTGATAATCATGATGTCTAAGCCCCAAATTCCGATTAGACGATTCTTCAACAGTTTATGGTTTACATGTTGATTAGACAATTCTTCAACAGATGGGATTATGGTTTACATGTGATACTTATAAATAGCCCCAGTTTTTCATTCCCCTATAAATTTCAAGCAAGAATAAGCCTTCCAACTCGTACGTACTACATATTACACTCTATCAAATACTATCGAATTATATGATGCCGCTAACAGTTGCTTTAGCCATTGTAGTTGTAGTCTTATCTGCCTCTCCATTGGTGCGTGCATCGGACCCTGATAAGTTACAGGACTTTTGTGTGGCTATCAAGGACTCTGACGCTAGTGGTACACATTTAATCAACAATTTTGTTTCTCTTTGTCTAAAAAGCTTCTAAATATAGTTTTCGTTATTTAAACATCGAAATTATATTCATTGTTCTAAATACCAATTTATAACATTTCAGCATCATAATGTGTGTCATTAGATTCAAATGAGATCTAAGTAGTGAATGGAGAATGAATCTAGACCGTTAGATTGTATTATGTAAAATTGAATGTACATTAGCTGAAATTGAAATGTGCATTAGATGAAATTCAAATGTGCAACACAAAAGACACGACATATTTACATTATGTGAAGCTGAATTGTGTATTAGGTGAAACTGAAAATGTGCAGAATGAAAGGTACGATGAGGTGGCATTTTTGTTCCTTTTATTATGCACATTTCAATTTCATGTAATGAACATTTAAGTTTACTTTTTATTCTGCACATTTCAAATTCACCTGATTCACACTTCAGTTTCACCAAATACACAATTCAGTTTCACATGATACTCCATATAATTCAATGGTCCAGATTCATTCTCAGTTCTCTCCTGGAAATCCTTTCTCACCATATTCGCTCCCAAAAGAAAATTTTGAGCCCATCTGGTAGGGTTGAGTTTGGTTGAGTCAGTTGAAATTGGAGAAGCTTTGACTGAAATGGCTAAATACATATGCTGAACTATAATAAATTATCTTAAATTTATTTATTAAGTAAATATAAAAAATAGTTTATGATAAAAGCTAAAATAGTCTACATCAACAAAATTAGGAAATGAAGCAATAAATATTATTTAGTAGTTTTGTTGTTCCATCTTGTTGACTTACATAGCTAAATGTAATACATTGTCCATGTAGTGTTCGTGAATGGAAAGATTTGCAAGGACATAACAAAAGTAAGCGCCGATGATTTCTACTTGCAAGCACGATTTAACATCCCACGAAACTCATCAAACCGGTTAGGGTATGCACCGACACTAATAGCAACTGAAAGCCTAGCAGGACTAAACACGATGGGTGTTTCAATAGGGCGCGATGACTTTGGACCGTACGGAGTGAGCACTCCCCATTTCCATCCTCTAGCAACCGAGGTCGTCACGGTGTTAGAAGGAACAGTATATGTGGGATTCATTGACTCTAGGAACAAATTGTATGCCAAGACGCTTCTTCCCGGAGACATTTTTGTCTTGCCAAAAGGACTCATTCATTTCTTGTACAACACTGGAGATCGCAATGCAGCTGTGTTTGCTGCTTTTGGGGGCCAAAACCCAGAATCCATCCATTTACCCAACGACATTTTTGGCAGCGATCCTCCCATTCTTCCTGAGATTCTTAGCAAAGCTTTCCTATTAGACAAGAATGTGATTAGGCGTATCCAATCACAGATTCGGTCAGAACTATCAGAGTGAGACCAGCACGCACTCATGCACGCATGCAGCCTATCCAAGAGAAGTGAAGTTAGTGGTTAATATAATGAAATATGCATGCATGCCCAATCTCAAAATATATACTCTGTAATAGATGTATTAATTAAATAAATCTATATTGGTGTGTGTGTGTAATATCAGTGTGTGTAAAAAATAATTGTATGTGCCATTCGATGGAGTTCAGGCATGAATATATATAACTTTAAGTTAATGCAAATTAAATGAATTATAGATGTATCAACAAATGACAAAACTAATAGAGTACCCAATATAAATATTTATAATCATATACCTTCATTGTAGAGGAATTTTCTAAACGGGTCTAAAATATAAGATAATTTCCTATTGTGAGGCAGGGAGTGACAAAAACATTACCCCTATACCAAAGCACATAGATACTATTTCCACATGACTAGTGCTGGACTCGGGCCGGGCGGCCCGAACCGGAACCGGCCCGGCCCGGTTACTGTGTGAACCGGCCCGGCCCGGTGGCCCGGTCCACCGGCGGTTCGGGTCGAACCGGCCCGGTGGATACCGGTTCCGGGCCCGGGCCCTCCATTTGGTGAACCGGCCCGGCCGGTTCGGGCCCGGTCCGGGCCGGAATAAATTTTTTATTTATTTTTTTTTTTGATTTTTTTTTTTATTTTTGGGTTGGATTAGGTATTTTGGGCCATTTAAGGTGGTTTGGGGTGGTTTGGGGTTGAGGGGGAGGGGTAGGGGGTTAAATAAAAGAAGCCAAAAAATCAAAAAAAAAAATGGGGCGGGTGAACCGGCCTGGAACCGGCCCGGTCTGGCCCGGAACCGGCCCGGAACCGGTCACCGTCCGGTTCGGGCCCGGGCCCTCCTTTTGGTGAACCGAGGCCCGGCCGGTTCAAGGCCCGAACCGGGCCCGGCCCGAACCGAGTCCAGCCCTACACATGACTGATGACTCAATCGCATCAAAATTGCATTAATTGACTGTTACATTATAATAAAGAAGCGCAAGGATAATATTAGACATTAGTAAGATCGACTAATAACTGTCATAAGCAGTTAAAAAAATAGACAATTAAAGAAACAAATTGAGTTTTCTTGTAATTTTTTTTGAAAACTAATAACTTAATTATTATTGATAAAGAAGAGAAGATTCATTACAACTATAAAGCTCAAGGCTACAATGGGATGAGACATAGAAACAGACGATTCCAATTGAAAACGCTGAATCGCTAATCCAGCAAAGAAGTAGACTCTATTGGCAGATTGACTGCTCCTCCTACGATCAAAATATTTATCAAAAGAACTGTTAAACATCCCAGTTTGTCCAACCACGGTAAGGAGCCAACTATAGAATTTGTTCCGATTTCACCATCCAGCGGAAAGAAAGCAATCTAAATGATCTCATCTTCCTGGAACAGCAGTGGTTCAGGAGGGGGCAATCATTCTCAATATCGGCGCAGAAGAAAATCATGTTTTTGATTGACGAAGAGATCAGTGAAACCTCTTCTTAGCACACAAGAACGCCCGACCAAAAGTGACGGAGAATATAGATCTGGTAGATGATACTTCGCTACCGAATATAATATCTCCAAACAACGTTGAGAAATAAATAGATGAATAAAATTGAAGACACTGATTAAAAATATATTTTTCATTATTGGAATCGAAGAAGATTGAAAGAAGAGAACAAAAGAAGAGGAAAGGATGAGGCAGCTAGGGCCCCCCTACTATCGCCGCTCCTATCAAGTTTTCTTGTAACTTATATGTGTGATTCAATACTTATATTATTCCTGGACTAATCTTTACTAGCATCTTACTGTTGGAGAAATACGACTCTGTCTTTTTCAGGATCATGAATTCATAAGGACTCCTGTACACTCACCCACACACGTAATATGAAGTCTCAAACTGATCATATCAATTTGTATGATACAACTGAAATGCACAAGACATAATTTAGAAGTAAATGGGTAGGACTAATGACTGCAATCGTTGTAACTTATCAAAATTTAAACGTTGAATCTTTATGAGACAAGGTTTTTTCGGGGGAGGGTGTAACTGTGTAACATACCGCAAATTTAGGGCATGTGAGGGTCTGGGTTTAAAAAGTGGCAGCGGTTGCGGCTAATGCGACCGCTGCGATGCGTATTGTGACTGCTACGGCGTGAAATATTTTCAAGTTCGCACAATTGTGGTGCGCCGCCATTGCAGCCAGCTGTGGCGTTAAGTAGAACGATGGAGCGCCGTTGTGGTTCCATGGCAGTAGGAATTCGCATTCACACAGATATAATGGCTCGATGCGGTATTTCGCTGCCGGCCGGCGACCATAATGTGGCCACTGCTAGGCGGTGGTGGTCTGCTATTTAAAAGTCTATTGAGGGTGTGATGGTGTGAAATGGGGAATACTCTCCTTTGACTAAAAACATTCCAATATATGTATTTTTGTGATCTGGTTTGTCATTGAAATATTCCAAACTCCATGAACATCCATACAAGTGAATCAAAGCATTAAATCATCCCGAATTTTCGCCCTACCCAAAAGTTTTTTCATCCACTAAATTGCTCTTGTTTTTAAAGAATATGTCTTGATACTGAAGTGTTGGATAATTCAGGTAAGTGAAAGTGTCTTAAAACAATTTTGATCTCTCCTAAGTCATTATATGTGCAATTATAATCCTAGCCGCAACTTAAGGTTACAAAAGATAACAATAAAATTGTTCAAATACAAATATAACAAAAATCATACAATTAAACCATCAAGCAACTAACTCCAATTCATGATTAAAATTCCCTTGTCAATCTCAAACTCTAATTAAATCTACTCACAATTCATAATTGAATCAACAATAAAATTGGGAAAGTAATTTAAGAATAATTGTCATTAATTTGAAAGAATAAACTTACAAATAATCTCAAAGTCTTGAATTAATGATGAATATCTAGTTCATAGGGTTCTTGTCCTATAATCTTATCCTGAATTACATATGGAAATAGCTTAAATTTATAGAAAACAACAAAAAATGGCCAAAACTGGGTTGCACATGGTCGAGCACACACCGTGCGGCTGACTGTGGAGACATCCGTAAAAAAACAGTGCCTAAGATCTTCAGCCGTCCGCATGCCGTGCGGATATCCACATGGTCCGGCCGTGCGGACCTTCCCACGGGAATATTCTGAAGCACATGGCGCGCGGCCTAGCTTGCATGTCTTGCGTGATAGAAAACCGATTTGCATGCTCTCTAATCCTTCCGCACGGCGTGTAATGTGCCCATCAAGCGCACGGCGTGCAGACCTCTTTTAGGCTGTTTTGTTGCTCTTTTCTTTAGCAATGTTCTTCCAATCGATCCTTAACTCATTCTTTGAACTTTTTTGACTCATAAATTGCTCCTTAGCCGTCTGGTGAACTTTCGATGTCTCTCAAAAACTCTCGAACATGACTCAAATCCTTACAAAAAACTCTGGAATGCCAATGTTGGGATCAAAATCCTAATCTTAACTCTATATAAAAAACAACCAACCCAAACCGAAAACCCGGTAAAGTGTGACTGGAGCTAATTAAGCGCGTTGTGACACATTTAATTAAGTTAGGAAAACTTATAAAAAACCAATCACAACATGCTTTTAATATGTGTCGAAATATGGACTTATCAAGTCCCCACACTTAAGTCTTTGTTGTTCTTAAGCAAACTGAATATTGGGACTTATAATAATTATTATCACACAACATCAAGCAACATTAGGGCACACACGTAGTCAAAGTATATTCACAGAAAAGTCAAACTTAACTCATGTGAACTCTCCTATAAATAACTTCTTTCTGCACTGATTAGAATTACTGACAAAAATTAATCAAAACATCTTTGAAGTAAACACAACACACACAAATACTTTTGCTCGTGCTCCGAAAGACTTGTGAAGGTGATGGGTGAAAAAGGTCATTTTTTTAGAGTTTGGAACAACCTGACAACGATTCAATATTTTCTGGGGTTTTAGGGCTATTCGTAGGAGCAAAGAATTCAGCAAGACACCTAATAGGAACTATTATCTATTTCTATGTAGGAAATAGACATGGTGTGCAAGTAAGTTAAACCATCGTTGCACATTGACTCTTTGACGTACACTTGAAGTATGTGAAGGACTAATACAAAAATCGCAAAAGCCTGCAAATCCAAATTTGATTATGTTTGGTTTTTCTTTATTTGTCATGTTAGCACAAGAATGATGTATCTTTCGAAAGATTCTCAAGTCTCATCTTATTGTGCAAACACATACGCTTTTTGACCGGTTCACTGGCTCCCTTTTTCGCAAAGAAGTCTAGCAGCGTTAATTATTTTATTTTTCCAATTTTTTTCAGATTTTTGTTAGACATTACTCATTCTAATTTCGGTCTGACCAAGTAAAATTAAAAATTAAAGTTCACTGAGGCTCTGTTTGCAACCACTTGTGCTTAAATAAAAACACTTTTTGGGAAAAAGTGATTAGTAGTAAAAGTTGGTAGTGTTTGGTAAAATAAGTGCTTTTTGTGTAATACAAAAAGTAAAAAGTAGATTCTACACGAAAACCGAGGAAGTAAAAGTTGATAGTGTTTGGGAAAATAAGTACTTTTTTCTTTAAAAAAAAGCCAAAATCATTTTTTTTAATGGATTGCAAACAAACCCTGAGAAAACTGAATTCATGCCTACAATGCAATCCTCGAGCTATCAAATTCATATAAATTAAACTGACTGCTCACCCCCATTTGGGGCATATGAATAGTGCAAAAAATGGCTCCAACAAGACTCCCTAAACACGGGAAACTCACCCCTGTCACCCTAAGCTTCAAAACACTGTCAGAATTATTCACAGATAAGAACACATGCCATTTAGACATAGAGCTCAAATTACGGGTAAAAGAACAAAAGACCAGAATCAAAATGGCTTCTCCCAAATGACTTATTTCAGGTGGGAAAAATAATGAGGTAACTAGTGTCTCCTTCATCTCAACAACGAGATTATGTAAGTAATTAAACTAATTAAGTCTAAAACTTCAAAAACATCCTTATTAATTATGCACAAGCTTAACCACCTCACAAGGATGAAGGTTAATAAAGAGTTACACAAATAACCACAAGTCTGGCGGGTTCAGCAATCTCGGGGATGCAATCCAACCTGTAAGAGTTTTTTTGTCCAATCACAAATAAAAAATTCTATTTATAGCCTTTAAACTAGTAGGTCATGTTTTAAAAATATCTTGTGTTTTGATGGAAATGGGAGATTGAAGAAACGATGAAAGCATTTACAAGAACAATGAGAAAAGCCTGTGAGAGTATGTGGCTATAACCGAAGCAAAATGCACAAATCGAGGAGAACGGGTTGGACATAAAAAATAGCGCAAAACTTAAAATGTCAAGGTGGTATTCACAAAAAGATTCAATAGTTAATTGCAGAGATGTGCAAGATGACCTGTAAATTGATTCACCCACAACTACTCTGTATATTGTTTAATGTGAAATTTGCATGAGTAATATTTATTTTTACGCATTTTGCAAAAAAAAAAACTCCTAAAAAAACTTCAAAAACACATATCTCAATTCATTAACTACTTCATAACAAGGAACTGCAAACTAATGGTTAGTTCTTGGTATGTTTCACAACAACAACATCATCGAAGTCTTTATCATTACCAAAAGAAATCAGAGTCAGTCAGTTAAAGTGAACCGACATATGAAATCAGAATTAAAAAGATACATAATAGATAATAAAAACTAAGATAAGATAGAAAGATACGGAGATGTTTTTATATCGAAGTCTTTATCATTACCAAAAGATGTTTTATTATCTTAAAAAAATAAGATAATAAAAAGATAAATAGTTGTGCACTCAACTAAGAAGTTTTTAATTTCTACTGATTTCAGTCCCACTCAAAATCAGACTAGATCAAAATTAAACAGACTAGATTAAACGGACTATGCTTTGAAATTTATAATATAGACATAGAAAAGACAACTAGCATTCTAGCAAACCATATCAGACCGGTTAATTTGTGTCCGCGGCTTAATTTGTGGCTAGTGTTGTACTTATAAATCCATTGGCCACCGTTTATACTAGCAACTACAAACCTATAATTATCATATAAAATGCAATTTATTTTTATAGATAGTTTGGTAGTTATCTCTTCTTGTTCATTTTTTTTTGTTTCTATCCCAAGTCCCAATCGACAGGTTAGGAAGAATATCAATAGGATGTATGAGTACTGCAATGGCTAAATGAGCTAATGAAATGAAATTATCATTATAATTAGGCTGCCTAAAGGGCCAAATGATGCCCCTAAACTCAAAATAACACCAATTGTCACTCTGAACGGATGGATAAAAAGATTCAAATTTCACTTTTTGCAGGTTACGATCGGGTCACCGCCATGACACCCGATAGGGTGTCCACTGCGCATGTGACGTGACAACTTATTAAGGGGCCAAATAAGCCCCTGAACCCGACTTAATCTAAGCCAGCCCCCAACCATTAAAAATCATAATGTTAAAATTACGAAAAAAGTAGAAATAAAAAATAAAAATAGAATATAAATATAAAAATATAATAAAAATACAAGTAATGTGTAATGAAATAAAAAAAGGAAAGTAAAGAAATTAATTCTTTAGTTGTATTTACAAATAATCTACTATAAAATATAAGCGGCCAAGGGAGTTAGATGGTCGTTTTTCCGTGTGTACAGTGCCCACATTTGACCTCTCCGTTGTTGTCTCCGTCTGATAGCCTGGTGTGCTGCTCTCCTCACATTATTTCTCCCCAGTATAATCTACCTATCTCCTCTCCTCATTTCGCACAGCCCATCCTTGGTCTGTAGAAATCTTCCATTGAAGGAGCCGTTCTCTATGTCCATCTGCAGAAATCTTCCGTCCAAAGAGCCGCTGAGTGTTTGGAATAAACGGCGTACATCTCCATCGCTCACTCCGATCCACTGAGTAGCTCGATTTCTTAAATTCCAGTCTAGGTGAAGGCTACCATTCACATACCCGTCGCCCCGATTGGTGAGTTCTTGAACTTCTTGTATTCGCTTCTGAGTTCTTGCCAATTCGAATGAATTGCATTTAGCTACTCATTCACCTTTTAGGATAAAAATACAAGTGGCCCGAAAGAGTTACCTTTCTAGGATGAAACCCAATAATACTTTATAATGTCCTTGCCTAAATTGGTTTAAGTGCTAAGGTGTCAAATACGGAGTATAAAAATACAAACCATGATATTAAATCTTTAACCTTTAGAACTGAATTTATGCGAGTTCTGACTTCTGAGTATAGCTTTATTAAAAGTTTAATGTCCATCATAAATGATGAACAATATATAGGATGAGTAGTACGGTCTAAAAGTTGAATTTGTATCTTGATATTATGCCTAGGCGGTATGACTTAAGTCACTTAACCACTCTTATATGAAAAGATTCAAACTTTTGCTTAGTGATGGTCTAATCTTTCTGACCCTTTTTGTCTCTTGTTCATTGTGAGATAGTGTGGGAGAGGCAAATCAAGAAAGAGCACCAATGAAAATATTCTATAATGGTCAAGTGATGATGTTCAATGATTTTCCAGCTGAGAAGGCTAAGGAAGTTATTGCATTGGCTATGAACACCCAAATCCCCAACATCTTACCTTGTACTGATGCTAATCCTGTTTCTAAGGCTGTTTCTGGTTTTGGAAAGCAGAGACCTTATTCCGGTAAGGTCCAATTTATCTTATCTTTTTTTACTTTATGATGTTCTGTTTTAAACGGTGTGATCGAGAGGCACGAGTTTAAGTCTTGGAAGTGTCTCTTGCCAAAATACAAGCGAAGAGTTGCCCCCTATACACCCACCCTTGTGGTGGATCCTCTTCCTGGACCCTCACCTTGCGGGGGATGCCAATGTGCACTGAGCTGCCTTTTTTAGAAAAGTTTCTGGTTTCATGTATGAAAAAGATCATTTTGCCAATTTTTTTTGGGGAAGCTTATATGAAGAAATGCTGTTTGTTTTCTGCTGTAGATTTGCCCATTGCTATGAGGAGTTCCCTTGTCAGGTTCTTGGAGAAGAGAAAGCACAGGCAAGCATTATTTTTCAATTGAAAGTCTCAACATTGAATTGTAGCAAAAAAACAGTGAACTTCACTAAAATTATGTTATACTTCGTATATTATATGATTCCAACCAAATGTTCACTGTCAATGTGAACCTCCTGTGCATATTCCAACCAAAATATGGTCTAATGTGCAGTTGTGGTTTCAAGTGGGGAATTTCTTTATTAAATAACACTTTTGAAAGTGGCATTTCAAATCAACTTTTGAACCAAAATATATATTGTCTGAGATTACATTATAATAAAAATGAGTTTTTCCTACGTCAAATACAAGCTCAAATGGCGCCTGATAAGGCTTAATCTTGTACATTATAAGGGCTTGTAAACTATTCTACATACACCTCAACTACAATTGTGTTATATTTATGACATTTCAAAAGTTGTGTTTTGAGAATTGATGGTGGAAATATGTGATGGGATAATAGGATTACATCCAAGGCACCATACGAGAAAAGGAACTGTGTGGGGGGAGCTTCTTCAGAGCAAGAAAAAAACAAGGAATGGCTGGGGTTGGCTGCCCAGTTTCCAGTGAAATCTGAGGCTCAGTTATCGTGATTTTTGTTTGATCATTGATGTGTATATGCTCTGAGAGCTTGAATTATATATACTTGAATTGGGGCATTAGAATGGTTTAATGGCACTTTATTAGAAATATTGACTGTTTGTTTGTGTTATGCCATTCTATTATCAATTAATGACCTAAATTATGTTTGTTTTTGCAGCTTTTGGGTGTACTTGCTGATGATTCTGTGGCATTGGTTTTTAGTTTTTTGGGGTTTTGGTACTTGTGAATTGATTTTCCACTGATGGCGTTACCAAATAACTATCCAGTATATTCTTCAGCTGTTCGGGAAACCAACCATCCAATGACCGCTGCAATCTAATTTACCCATACAAGCACATACGGTATTCCCCTGTTTTCCTTGAACTCCTTGTCTACCCTTTGTCCCTCCATTGTTGTTTTCAAATTATTATATTTTAATTTCCTACTTTTACCCATCCTACTATACACCATTGTACAACTAACATACACAATGCCTTTGTGGTTTTCCCTCACATCAAGTGGAATAAGGCTTTAAAAACATCTTAAAACTAAAAACATCTACCCTTTGTAGATTATGAATGGCTTCTTCTGTACTAGCCAACCTGTTTACAATCATGATTAAGAGTCCGCCCCTTCAACTGCCCTGATTGTGAGTTATTAGAAATATCATATAATTCTCATGCATCCACCCTGGTTGCTTTAGAACACATATTACTTACCTGGGAGGGGATTTTGCCTTGAACTTAGCTGGGGCCCCGTCAGGTAGTATCCTGGACGACATGTCCAGGATAAAAAGCTTTTGGGGTTTTGGTACTTGTGTTTGCAACTTTATGTTCGCATTTTTATCCACTTGTATTTGCAGCTTTTGGGTGTACTTGCTTATGATTCTGTGGCATTGGTTTTTAGTTTTTTTGGGGTTTTGGTACTTGTGAATTGATTTTCCACTGATGTGCTTTATTCAATTTTATGAGTTTGTTGATGATTCTGTTGTTTTGATTTTCAGTTGTTTGGGTTTTTGGTACTTGTAAACTGGTACATGTAAATTGAATTTCCGTTTATTTCCTTTATTGAATTTAAAAAAAGTACCTTTGTGTTTTTGTGTTTTCAATGATCTTTGTTTGTATTACGCGTATTCAAAGTTTGCGTAGGAGGATATACTATAGCTCAATTTCCGTTTGATACACAACTGCCAGTTGAGAATTTCCTGTGTGTCATTGGTGTTTGTATATTGTGGTTTTGTGATTCAGAATCTGCAATTCAATTTGAATTTCCCCCTTTTTTTTGGGTGATAGTGATCCTTCGCGCTTGTTGTGTGTGTTATGGTTTTCAAGGGTTTTGTGCTTCAATATATTCTCTGAATAGACTTATGTGTGGTGAATAACAACAATTGTGCTTCCAATGGAGTGTGACTGAGTGCTATTTCTATGCAGTATTATTGTATTCTTCTTTATTAGTTGTCTACAATTTAGTTGTCCGTAAGGTGTTTGTCAAATAGTCTCAGCCAAAAAATAGTAGATGGAGATTGTATTCCTCTTTATTAGGTCTTCAAAGTGTTTGTCGAATTGTCTCAAAGGAGAAATCATTGATATGAAATAATCTTTGTGTGTGATGATTAATAACATGCAATTAAGGATGTTCTTACATGGACCATTTCCAATTCCAATCCAGACCAGACTTAAGCAGACCAAATTTAAAGTAAAAATTTTATTCTTTAAATTTAAAGTAAGAAGCATATCACAGGAAAGAAATAGAGGCAGTAAAATAGTGTTTCGGCCAAAAAATATGTATGTGCTGATTAATAATATGCAATTAGAGATGTTACACTCCATTTTTTGATGACAGAAGTGGCTGCTGCTGGGGTAGGGTGTTTGTTAAAAACTCCACTCAATCAGGGATTTAATGTTTTCCACTAAAGGTGCTTTGCTAAATAGAATTTGAGGTAGGAAAGGTCCCTCCTCTATCCTTTTCAGGTATTCTCTAGAATTGGAAAACATGAGGGAATCACCTCATTGCCTTGCAACCCTAACTTCTGTTAATATAACAAATAGTGTGACCTATTTATGAATAAACTGAGTAATAGCAAGGAAAACTATCATATCACAGGTACATGCAAAGAAATTTGCTGAAGCAACCTTCTTACTGAAACATAAAAAGATGAAAAAAAACATTCTTTAAGAATCAAAATATGTTTCCAAATAAACTATAAGGGAGAAATAAACGTGATAAACTTCAATTGTTACTCCTCATATGGATTTAAAAGTCCATCTATTTATAGTACTCTTACAAATTCTAGAAACTTAACTGCATTTAATCTAGCAAATCCACTACTATGAGAAAGAAAACAACCAATTACTTTTGTAAAGTTAATTCTCTTTGTCCACAATAAACATATTGTCTTCTACGTTTTTACAGTTCAAATACATCAATAACTAAATATTTATTAGGGATCGTTTCTCTTGAAGCTTCTAACATAAATAACTCTTAGGCCTTTAAGTTACATGTTTTTCTCACTAAACATGTGGGTTTAATGTCAATGCATTTAAGTATTGTATAGTTTGGTAGTCTTTGAATTTAGTTCATTTTATGCACATAAAGCAAACAGATTTCCAATTATACAAGATTAATACATAATCACATTTCCTTAAGTTAAACAATGATGTTTAGTTGAAAAGATAAAAATATATAACCACAATACAAGCATATAAAGTGTTGTCATTAACTAATTTCAAAAAATTAAGATTTTTTTTGTTTCCAATTCCAACCCAAACCAGACTTAAGCAGATCAGATTTAAAGTAAAAATTTTATTCTCTAAATTTAAACTGAGAAGAATATAATTACGGTTTTTGAATTTTTTTAAGACACTCATAGATAAAATATAGTCAAACATATGCATTGTGACACATTTTTAGTGTGCTTTGGTTAGAAGTATTAAATTTTTATTGATTATTACAGGAGAATCTTTACGAGACAAGCAGTTTCAGAGGTAGCTTGGGGTAAGTGCTGTATACGTTTTGTTTCATGTGTGTGATTATGTGTCAATGTGAGGTTTTTTTTTTGGCTTATTATGATTGTTGAGTATATTTAAATATGTTACATAGTTAAGGCTCTCCCAAATGGAACTTGGAGAATCATCTTCCAAATCTTTTGGGTGTACGCTTCGAGATATCCTCCGCATCCGTTAAACACCATTGAGCTTGAGAAGCGTGCATCAAGATATTGCAGAACGAGTTCTGCACAAACTATGAAGGTTAGTTTTGAAGCTAAGCACTGAGTTATTGCATAGAGCTTCAAAAGGGCTGGATTGATTTTGATACTTACATAATTACGTTTTCACTGGACTACACTCATTGGGATTATGAATGAATCTTGCTGTTACTCTGAATTTTGTTGAGCTACATGGTAATAATTCTAATATGAGGGAATTTAATTGTTATTCTCCCTATTTCTTAGGTGGCTGAAGATCTGTACCAACAAGGTTTTATTAGCTATCCACGCGCCGAGACTGATAAGTTCTCTGTTGATGCCATTGCCAACTTGCCTGTAAGTTGCTATTTCGTCCTCAATCATATACTCATAGTTTGTGTCAGAAGTGCTAACCCTTCAACCAAATGAATAAATGAAGAGAGTTTGAAATAAACTTCTATGTTCAAATTGATTCGGGAGAGTAAATCTGGCATCTCATGAAAAGATGTCTATTCAGTGTATAAACAAAGGCAGAGTTCAGCCATTCTATGTTCAAAAGTGATTAACTTATTACTTCCTCTTTATGTTTTAAACTGCTATTCCCCATAGTTTTTTGTCTTTAATTCCATCGTTGGGCACGATTCACGCGCAACGCGCGCCGCCCGGCTAATATATTTATATGTTTTGTAACAATATAATGTAACAGTTACATCGCACACATGTATGTGTGTGTGTGCGAGCTGCCGTCCACACACATGATTGTATGTATATTAGCTTACTTTATATAGTATAAAGTACACATAATTAGTATGTAGTACTTCATATAAATAATACGTAAAAACCAATTATATATATATGTGTGTGTGTGTGTGTGGGGGGTTCTATTTCTATATTTTAGTTTTTATATACAGAGTAATTTTTTATTACTATAGATATAATAAAGTGTGATTTGTAACTTTGAAAAAAATATTGTTAAATAAAAATAATATATTTTTATTATATATTTAAATAAATTAAAAAAATATGAATATAAAAAAATACAAATGGATAATGTAAACATAATGCTTCATATAAATTATCAAACCAAAAATCTAAAATTTGTGTTATATTACAAAACATTAGATATAATAGATACAATAAAATTTTTAATATAGTTTGTAATAACAAATTGCTTATTTCTTATATAAAATATATGTAGTAGCTATAAATATGGAAATAAAGTTAAAGAATTTCTTTTAGTTTTTTATTTTATTGTATATTTACCATAAAATATAAATATTGAATATACACCTTACCGGATGATGTCGAAATGTATTTTGTTATATATTTGTATTTACATATGTATTTTTTATTCTTTTTTTTTTAAATTTGACATTTTAGGTTTGAGGGGGTAAATTGAAAGATTTAGTCGGTTTAAGTGCCTATTTGACCCCTTTGGTTGCCCCATTTGATGCACAGCTGATGACACCTTACCGGATGACGTCGAAGTGATCGAATCATGACATACAAATAGTGAAATATAATGTTTTATCGAGTTAAGGGTGTCAATTGGAGTTTTTTAGTACAGTGGTCTATTTGACTGTTTAGCCATGTTATGATTATTAGGGAAAAATACTGAAAAGGTACTTGTGGTTTGGCCCGTTTTCAGATAGGGTCATGTCACTACTACAAATAGGGTTTCCACGTCGGTTATTTATACCCTTTTACGTCGGTTTTGAAAGTGATGAGGAATGTGGGGACGTAATAGGTAATATCTTCTTACGTCCGTTTTTTAAAATAACTGACGTTAAAACCAATACCATATGATACAACGACGGTTCTTTAAAAACCGACGTCATACGTGTGACGTGAAATGTCATCTTTGTAGTAGTCTGTGTTTCATTCTTTATCAAAGTGCTTCATGTGTTGGAATTTCATTATCACAAGAGGGTTACGCCGTTAAAAACGTCTGAAAAAGAGTTAAAAGTAACTCTGATGTTCAAAAGTGCCCGAAAAATTAAAAGAAAAATACCAGAAGGTGCGCCTCAATAAGAGGACCGCTAGGTCATCTTTCTTTTTTGTTTTCAGCCACCCTTGTCACCGGAAAGTCCACCGGAAAAGTGATATTAGTGAAATCATTTTTAAAAAATTAATTCAAACAGATCTGAAAAATCCAAAGGCGGGGGTGGTTTGGAGATCATCTTGATGAGACGCACCTTTCAGTAATTTTCTTTTAATTTTCCGGGCATTTTTGAAAATCGGAGTTACTTTTTACGGTCTTTTTTAGACGTTTTTAACGGCGTGACCCTCTTGTGATAACAGAATTCAAACACATGGACCACTTTGATAAAGAATGAAACACATGACCCTATCTGAAAACGATCTCAACCACAAGTACTTTTTTCCTACTTTTCCCTAATTATTATGATTAAAAACAAATATTAGACATCGCCGGAACACCTATACTAGTGAACAGATTGAAACACAACTTGCTGAAAGGGGTGTGTTATTTATTTTATGCTATTATATTCAATTTTCAAATTGAGTTTCATAATAATAAAATACACCTATTCAGGAAAATTTACTCATGTAGATAATCATTAGAAATAATTACATATTTATGACTAAAATAAAGTTTCTTGACAAAAATGTGATTAGTGACTAAAGTGGTAATGAAATTAATTTATATTCAATTTTAAACTTAAGTTACCATGACACTACATTTTAATAATTATTAGTCATATTTGCATAAATAAGTTTTATTTTGTAATCTTTTTGTAAAAAAAAACCCTAATTATTATGGAGACTCATTTTAGTGAAAATTTCTACTTCTTTTCGGGAAATTTTCAGTTAATTTAATTGGTCATGGTAATATCCTCAATCTTCACAATCTTTAACTAATTAATATGGAGTATTAGGTCCAAATATGTTTTTGATCCCTGTAAATAGACAATATTTAGTTTTACATCGCTGTAATTTTTTATTATTATTTTTCATCCCTGTATTTTTTTCTCTTTATTTTTCATCCCTGTAAAACCGATTGTTACAATCTCCGTGTCGCAAACGAAACAACTGGGCTAATAGATTTCTTCTAATAGATTTATTCTAATTCTTAGATATTTATGGATGGACCAAAATCACTTAAACATTTTATAATCATGATTTCTAAGCACCAATTTCCAATGATTGGACAATTCTCCAACCATTTATGGTTTACATTTGATAGCTATATAAATAGCACTCCATTTCTCATCTATATATATATATAAAAACGGAATAGTGGCAGCAACCCCTTGGGCGGGAATACTGTAGTTGCAGCTTAGGCGGAATTCGCCGTGCGTAAATGAATGTGAAGTTGTGGATAAGGCATGGCTGGACAATTCATTTAATGCATGTGCTGTATTTCAAGGAATTATGCTATCGAGAAAAGGCTCAGCAATCAAAGTAAATATAGTTAAATAATCATGACTTTTTAACTTCTCAATATTCGATAATCAATACTGAGTTATCCAATACAATCAAAGTAATTATAGTTAAAGATGATTTAAAAAATTTGTGCGTCCTTTGGCATTTATTGGCTCCATTGAATCGGACTTTGGGGTGTTAACTGCTAACCTCTCTTCTGAAGTTCAACTATATATATAGACCTGCGCAAGCACATACAAATTAAGTCAAATGCGTGGGTGAAGTCAAATGCGTGGGTGATGTGAGAACTCATGCATTGCTAACTCTATTACCGGATTGGCTATCAGATTTCTCATCAACGATGTATACATCGTTTAGATTTTGATAGCTTGCCGTTTCAAATTTATTTATCACTACTAATTACATTTACATCTAATCAAGCCCAGTTTATAGCAGATCACAATATATACCATGGTTTCAATTCCATTATTATAAATCAATATCATCTAATCAACGGAGGAAATTAAACAAACCGCTCGATCTCTCTTTCTTACGCATGTGAGCTTATTTCATCTCTATTTCTTACGCATGTGAGCTTATTTCTATTGATCTATTCGGCATGGTAATAAGATCCCTCAACAGGACAATGAATTCTAGATAAAATTTTCAGAGCAACATTAAAGAGCCACTTTAGAAAATGTTTTGCTTATCTCCTTATTCTAAATGCTTGAATTTATACATTAGCACTTCATTATGAGCGTTTAGTTGTTTGTTTTGTTTACTCATTCAGTCATTTTAAATGACTACATACCGTTCATTAAGCATGCTGTTGTTTTGTGTTTTTATAATAACTTCATTTTCAAAAACAGGAACTCATTAACTAGCTTTGTTTGAATCCTAAAGGATTTGAATAAGTAAAGATCAAATTTATTTGAGGGACATGAGGAATACCATACCACAAAGGATTTCAGGAACAGACTAGCAGAAAAAATCAAATTAGTAATATAAAAAATAACCTCCCAATACAACCCGGATTGATGCTTGCCCAAACTATAGTGACATGTGAACAAAGTAAGAACACAGTAGAGAAAGATTATTTCAAATTAACTAAGAAGAACACAATGTCTTTTCTCACACTTAATAACACTACTACAATTTTAGAGCTAGCGTATCATTAAAGAGTTATAACATATCTATAAAAGTGTTACATATTTCTCTAACGTAACACTTTTTAGATCTAATGTAACACTTTCTAGAAGTATAAATGTTACATTATGAACTATAAAGTGTTACAGCAGTTCTAATGCAACATGGGCAAATGTAATGGTAAGAAAGTGTTACATTTTCTCTAATGTAACACTTTTTAAGTGATATTTTAACACTTTAAAGTGATACATTAGGAGTTGAAATGTTGTAGTGTAACTATATATTAAAAGTAAATACATCTTTGATAAGTCCGTATTTGGACACGCATTTGATGCGTGTCCGGGTCGGATTTTGATGATTTTCTCGGCTTTAAGGCGTTACAAGTCTCAAATTTGGCTCAAGTTGTGTTTAGCAGGCGTTGGATCGAGTTTCGTTGCATTTGGAGTTGATTTGAAGAAGTTAGAGTCCGGCAATCGGCGCTAAAGAGACAACCGGGAGGAGATAGAGAGCATTCAAGGAAGAATTGAGAGATTTGGAGGTCACCAGGTGATTCACGGCGAAATTTTGATGAAGAAAGAGCATTGGGATCGACCTTGTTTGAATCCGGGCACGTTTGGAGCAAGAAAACGAGAAAACGGAGCGAAAAAGTCAGACGCACGGTCGTGCGTCTGGGACGCACGATCGTGCGTCCATTACTAAACCGCGATGAGGCCTCTGCCTGCTACGCACGATCGTGCGTAGGCAGGGACGCACGATCGTGCGTAGCCCCGTGACACGCGCGGAAATTTCCTATTTCGGCCCAAATTCGGTTTTTTTCCCTTTTTTTCTATAAATAAGGCCTCCCTAACCCTTTTGAGGGGTTACGAACATTACGGAGAGGCCTAGGGACGAACTTAACACCGTTTTTACGCTATTTTCTTCCAAGACCCTGGGATTATTTGTAAGTTCATCTTTTTAATTAATGACAATTATTTCTATTCATCTCAATTCTGTTGATTCTTCAATTATGAATTGAGAAATTACCCTAAATAGGACTAAAAACGTTTGTATATTCCAAAATAGGACCGTCATGTTTTTACTCCCAAAATAGGACTAATTACTGTCATGTTTTGTCAGTACCACACTTTAAACATGGCAGTATTTTCCAAACTTGGCAGTAATTACTCCTATTTTGAGAATAAAAACATAGCAGTCTTATTTTGGAATTTTCAAACTTATTTACTCTTATTTCGAGAATTTTCCCTTATGAATTGTGAGTAGTTTAATTAGGGATTTGGGATTGATGAAGGGGTTAATCATGATTGATGGCTAGATTCTTGTTGGTTTAATTGCATGAATGCCGTTTAATTTGTGTATGAATAATTTAACTGATATCTCTTGTAACCTAGATGGCCACTAGAATTACAATTGCTTATAGAATAAATTAAGAGAGATCTAATTTGTTCTAGGACACATTCACACACACTTAATCGTTTGCTAAGAGATTAGTAGCGATTAAGGAGCCGTAAGCTCGCTCGTCTTGGCAATCATTTAGGATCTTGTCGCATGAGAGATCAGCCTGGTCCCCTAAATTATTGTACTCTACGCCGCGAGAGCGGTAAGAATTTAGTAATGATTAGCTAGGCTCAATTAAATTAAATTCATGTAAATTAGGCCTGATCTGCCAGAAATCTGGTTACCCCGGAATCAATCCCTGTTCCCTTCGTCGTTAATTGAGAAGAAACCACTTTTATTTTAATCGTTCATCTTCATTAGTTTAATATTAATTCACCAATCAATCTCGCACACTTGCATTTATTTATTTTATTTCTTTTTAATCGCTGAATTTAGTTAATCTTTAATTCCCTTTTGTCCGTCCCTGTGGAGACGATACTCGTACTTTCAACCACTATTCTACAATCTTTTTAAGTGCGAGAAAACACTCATCAGTTTTTGGCGCCGTTGCCGGGGACGGTGTCGGATTTAAGGGTTAATTAATTTTAGCGACTTGTTTTTTTAGTTTTTCGTAGGATTTTTGTCTACTAACCTTGCAGGTCAGATCTGTTTATGCATACACGCTCTAAGAAGGGAGAATCACTAGTCCCTCTTAATCCTGAGATCGAGAAGCTAGCTAAGCAGAACCGCAAGGCCTTTAGAGAACAGAAAGCAACCATGGATCAACCATCCGCATCTGGGACAGCTGGGACGTCTGAGGTCCAAACCACTTCTGGTAATCTGGATTTTTATATTAATACCTCTCCCCAGTCTTCACAAGAAAATTCACCTAGAGCTTATCCGGGGTATCAAAATCTCCGTACCCCATTCTTCCCCCAAAATCAGTCCACTCCACAACTAAATCTTCCACCACTCTATCAGCTCTTTCAAAATACTTCTATTGCTCCCGAAACCACTTTTCAAAATCAAACCTTTGGGATGCAAGGTCTAGGGCAAAATAATCCAGTCTTTCAGCCCAGACAGAACCAACCGCCAGTCACACAAAATCCACCCCCTACTCAGCCACAAAATCAGCCTTTCCAACCCCAATATCATCAATTCCATCAAACCCAACCTCAGCCAAATATCATCCGTCCACAACCCATAAGACCACAACCAGTTCATCAGCCGAGGTATCAAGCTCCTCCTTACCACAACTATGTTCCACATGACAATCCACTCTATCAAGGAGAGAGCATTGCACACTTCCTAGCCCCCGAGATCACAGAGTATGACAGCATTCAGGTACCGGGGATTACTGCACCCCGTTACGAGATCAAGCCGGCGGTGATCAATATGGTCCTAAATAATCAGTTTGGAGGGAGCCCTACGGAAGATCCAGTGGCACACATTACCAAATTCCTGAGGATGTGCCAGACTTTCAAGATTCCTGGGCTAGATGACGATCAGGTACGGATGCTACTATTCCCTTTCTCTTTGAGGGATGATGCGCAGAGGTGGTTGGATAGCAATCCACATCACCACATTCAGACTTGGGATCAACTGCATAAGGCCTTCATAAAAGAATACTTCCCAACATCAAAGGCCATAAAGTTGAAGAAGCAGCTACAGGAATTCAAGCAAGGTTCTTTGGAGACATTAGCTGAGGCGTGGAAGAGATTCAAGGTGCTGAGAAGAGCTTGCCCTCAAGGCAAGATGACTGATTGTGAGGTTCTATCTTGTTTCTATAGTGGACTCAACAATGAAGGAAAGATGATGCTTGATGCTTCGGGAGGTGGAGCTTTTCCTCAGTTGCCATCTGAGGTTGCGGAAGAATTAGTGGAGAAGATTGTGTCTAATAATGCTTCATGGTACAGTTCTCGGGACACACCTCACCAGAAGGCCCCGGGATTGTACGAGATCAGTGAGAATTCTGCCCTTTCTGCAAGGGTAGATGCTTTGACCAGTTTAATTCAGAAGCTTGCTACTACGGTGGACGACAATCAGAAGAAGACGGAACTTGCTCTCTCGGTGCCCAGTGTGAATATGGTAGCCCCCGTTCCTATTAGTCCCTCTTGTTCTATGTGTGGGGGACTCCATTCGCCACATGAATGCACAATGATGGCACACTCGGCAGCCCCTGGAGTAGAGCAAGTGGATGCGATGTATTATCAGCGACAGGGCTATTATAATCAGCCCTACGGACAGCAGCAGCAAGGGCAATACGGGCAGGGAAATCAGCAGCAGTCAAGAAACTTTAATCAACCCCAGGTACCTCAAGGCCAACAACAAGCACCTCAGCCGCAGCAAGGGAGTTTTAGAAAAGAGACTGAGCAAAGATTCTCTAGTTTGGAAGACACATTCAAGAAATACATGCAAGTGACTGATGCAAGGATGCATAACATGGAAACTCAATTGGGGCAAATCTTTAAGGCTGTATCTGAGAGGCCTCAGGGATCCCTCCCCAGTAATACTGAACCAAACCCACGAGAACATGTTCAGGCAGTCACCTTGAGGAGCGGGAAAGAGCTAGAACCTGCTGCCATAACAAAGAAGCCCGATAAAGTTCAAGTTGAACCGGCTGTCCGGGAGGAAGAGAAGGAGAAAGATGAGGGAAGAGAGGTGGCGGCTGCACCAAAACAGTCCGTTCCGATCAAGAATTACACCCCACCTCTCCCCTATCCGGCACGATTGACTAGGAAGAACGATAGTGACCAGTTTGGTAAGTTTCTGCATCTCATGAAACAAGTGCAGATTAACTTACCATTCGTGGATGCACTAGCTCAGATGCCGAAGTACGCGAAGTTTATGAAGGATTTGCTCACGAACAAGAGGAGGCTGGAAGAAGCGTCTACTGTGACGCTTAATGAGGAGTGCTCAGCGGTGATACGGACAGATCTGCCGAAGAAGCTTAAGGATCCAGGTTCTTTTACTATTCCCTGCTTTATAGGAGATCTTACTTTTGATAGGGCCCTGGCTGATTTGGGTGCAAGCATTAATCTGATGCCTCTTGCTTTATATGAAAAGCTTGCACTCGGTCCACTTAAACCTACACGTATGTGCATTCAGTTGGCCGATCGTTCAGTCAAATATCCCCAAGGGATTATTGAAGACGTGTTGGTTAAAGTGGACAAATTTATTTTTCCGGTAGACTTTGTTATTTTGGACATGGATCAGGATCGGGGGGTACCATTGATTTTGGGCAGACCATTCTTGGCAACTGCCCGTGCACTTATTGATGTTGGAGACGGTAAGCTTGTTCTCCGCGTTGGGGATGAGTCTGCCACCTTTGACATGTCCAAAATAATGAAGAGGCCCTGTCAAGATAGTGGTGAGTGTTTTTACATGGATGTGGTTGATTCTTTGGTGGAGGATTGCATTCCTAACATGCTTTCTGATGAAGCCTTCTTTGATCTTCTTTTGGATGATAGTTTGTCAGCAGAGGATCTTGAGCTCCTCCCCAGTTTTGATTGTCTTATGCTTGATGGGGAGGAGGACTCAAGTGATGCTAGTAATGTGAAGGGGAAGGAAGATGACTTAGATAAGGTGGAGAAGGAAGATTGTCAGACTGATTCTTCTATTGTTACTCCTTCTCCATTAAATCTAAAGCCTCTTCCCTCCCACCTTGAGTATGCGTTTCTAGATAATAGTTCTGACCTCCCTGTTATTCTTGCATCCGGGCTTGAGCCATCCCAAAAATCTGCATGTCTTGACTTACTTTGTGAACAAAGGGAAGCTCTAGCCCGGAAACTTTCTGACATGAAAGGAATCAGTCCCGTTTTCTGCACTCATAAAATTTTGATGGAAGATAATGCTAAACCGGTAGTGCAGCCACAAAGGAGATTGAATCCTAATATGCAGGAGGTGGTCAGGGAGGAAGTGATCCGTCTGTTAGATGTAGGGATTATTTATCCGATTTCAGACAGCCCTTGGGTCAGCCCGACCCAGATGGTTCCCAAGAAAGGGGGGATGACTGTGGTCAGGAATGAGAAAGATGAGTTGATTGCTACACGTACGGTCACCGGATGGCGGGTTTGCATTGATTACCGAAGGTTGAATGCCGCCACCCGGAAGGACCACTTCCCTCTCCCCTTCATTGATCAGATTTTAGAGAGGCTAGCAGGGCATAAATTTTATTGTTTCCTTGACGGGATGTCGGGATACTTCCAGATCCCCATAGCCCCCGAGGACCAGGATAAGACCACTTTTACATGTCCATTCGGTACCTTTGGATTATGTAATGCCCCTGCTACCTTTATGAGATGCATGCTTGCTATTTTTGGGGATTTCATTGGGAAGTTTATGGAGGTTTTTATGGATGACTTTTCTGTGTATGGTGATACTTTTGATGAGTGCTTAGAGAACTTGAAGAAAGTCCTGGTTAGGTGTCGAGAGGTGAATTTGGTGCTTAACTGGGAGAAGTGCCACTTCATGGTTAGTGAGGGAGTGGTCCTAGGGCATAAGATTTCAAGTAGGGGGATTGAGGTTGATCCGGCTAAGGTTGATGTGATTTCTAAACTACCTCCCCCTACTTCGGTTCATGCCATTAGGAGTTTTCTAGGCCACGCAGGTTTCTACCTCCCCCTCCTGACTGGTCTTTGCCTTTTGAGATTATGTGTGATGCTAGTGATTTTGCAGTAGGAGCCGTTCTTGGGCAGCGTCGAGATAAACATTTTCAGCCTATTTCTTATGCTTCAAAAACTCTCGATAGTGCCCAAGAAAACTACACTACCACCGAGAAAGAATTGCTTGCTGTTGTTTTTGCTCTTGACAAGTTTCGTCCTTATTTGATTTTGTCTAAGGTAGTGATATTTACCGATCATTCTGCTCTTAAATATTTGTTGCAAAAAGTGGATGCTAAGCCTAGATTGATTCGGTGGATATTACTACTCCAAGAGTTTGATATTGAGATTAGGGATAAGAAAGGGGCTGAGAATTTAGCGGCTGATCACTTGAGTAGGTTAGAAAACCCCTTTCTTGATTCCCTGAGTGAGAGAGATATTGAGGGTACTTTTCCTGATGAGAGACTGTTGAGGATCGTTGATGAGGTGCCTTGGTTTTCTGACATCGCCAACTATCTTGTTGGGGGTGTTGTTCCTTCTGATTATACACCTCATCAACGAAGGAAATTTTTTGCTGATTTGAAATATTATTTTTGGGAGGAACCATATTTGTTTCGTATTTGTGCTGATCAGGTTGTTAGAAGATGTGTTCCTCTTAGCGAAGGAGTTGAGATTCTCAAACATTGTCACTCCGGACCAACTGGGGGACACTATTCTTTTAACCGGACAGCTCGTAAGGTGTTGGAATGTGGTTTCTTCTGGCCCACGTTGTTTAAAGATGCTCTAACGTTTGTGCAGGAATGTGACAGGTGTCAACGCACCGGGCCGGTTACCAAGAGGGATGAGATGCCCCAAAATTTTATATTGGCTTGTGAGGTATTTGATGTTTGGGGCATTGACTTCATGGGACCATTCCCGGGTTCTAAAGGTAATAAATTCATTCTGGTTGCTGTGGATTATGTCTCTAAGTGGGTTGAGGCGGAAGCTCTGCCCACTAATGATGCTAGAGTTGTGATTCGTTTTCTGAAGAAATTGTTTTCTAGATTTGGAGTGCCACGAGTTTTGATAAGTGACAGGGGAACCCACTTTAGGAATGATCCCATGACTCGTCTTCTGGCAAAGTACGGGGTCACTCATAAAGGGGGCGTCCCTTATCACCCCCAAACTACTGGCCAAGTTGAGAACTCGAATAGGGACATTAAGACCATCCTTGAGAAGACCGTTGAGACCCATAGGAAGGATTGGTCTGATAAGCTAGATGATGCGCTGTGGGCACTGCGTACAGCGTATAAGACACCCATTGGCACTACTCCGTTTCACTTGGTTTATGGGAAGGCATGCCACCTTCCGGTAGAGATAGAGCATAAGGCCTACTGGGCCTTGAAAACGTTGAATAAGGATTTGTCTTTGGCGGGTCGTGAACGGCTTTGGAAGCTCAATGAGTTGGATGAGTGGAGGCTTATGGCCTATGAGAACTCTAAAATTAGTAAGGAGCGTACCAAAGCCTATCATGATCGGCACATTAAGCAAGGAAAAGAGTTTTGTAAGGGGGATCAAGTTCGGCTATTCAATCCCCGAATGAAGATTTTTAAAGGAAAGTTGAAGTCTAGGTGGTCCGGTCCTTTTGTAGTGAGCGAAGTTTTTCCATTTGGAACTGTTGAGATAGATCATCCTGAGAAGGGCCGTTTTAAAGTTAACGGCCATCATTTGAAGAAATATTACGGAGGACCGCTAGAACGCGAGCGTGAGGTGACCTTTGTCACGAATTTGGAGAGATGAGTGCGTAGTTGCGCCGGGCAAACGACGTTAAAAATAGCGCTTCTCGGGAGGCAACCCAAGCTTAATTTGTTTTTGTTTTAGTTTAGTTTTGTTGCTTTTCAAAAAAACCAAAAAAACCAAAAAAAAAAAAAAAAAAAAAAATCTGTTCGTGCGGACGCACGGTCGTGCGTCTGGGACGCACGCCGTGCGTCAAAGAAAGAAACGCGGGGGAGGCTACTGCCATCGACGCACGATCGTGCGTCCCCCCCTACGCACGATCGTGCGTAACACTTGAAACCGCGGGGAGCTGCTGCCATCAACGCACGATCGTGCGTCGCCCCCTACGCACGATCGTGCGTCCCAAAATCCCTAAACCACCCCTTAATTAAAACATTACCCAACCCCACCCCTTCTCTCCCCTTACTCGATCCACGAACTCCCCCTTCCCCTTCCCCTTCGAAGAACACCAGCCGCGACCGCCCAGCAGCCACGACCACCGCCCTGCCGCCGCACCGCCGACTCACCCGCGACCGCCGCGTTCGCCGCGACCGCCGCGCCACCCACCACCAACCGCTCTCTCCTCTCTTCTCCAAGGTATCTTCTCCTTCTTCTCCTTTCCTCTCTTTTCTCCATTAATGGAGGTTTCTCCAAGCTTTTCTAGAAATCCAAATTCTTATGCTCTAAAATTAGGGATTTACATCCACATGATTAAATTGAAGCTTGTGATGATGATTTTGATATTCTATGATTGATGAATTTATTTCTTTTGATTGAAATCCCTAATTTTTGAGCTAATTTAGCCAATTTAGGGTTGAAAATTGATGAATGTGAGATAAATTTGGGGTTTTTTTTGTGCTCCTTGCTTCAATTAAGGAATGAATTGTTGATTATGATGTTGAATACTTGTTGTTGAGTTAAATTGAGCATAAATCCCCAAATTTTAGGCCAAACTTTGTCCAATTTGAGAATTGAGAGTTCTTCCCCTAATCCAATATCTCTTTAATTCTTTTGGGAGGAACTCCATTCTTAACACTTGTTTTGATAAGGATTCTTGCTTGTGACCTTGTTTATACCGTGTGTCGTTGAAATATTTGACTTTACTTCAAAGAAATTTTCTTTGATAAAAATTCAAAAGTTTCAACTATTCTGGTTAAACTTGGATTGATTGATAATTATGTTGATGCTCTTGAATGACTGATTACTGACGGGGTTATTACTGTTGATTTGGAGTTTTATTCTAATACTTGGAAGCCCCGTTGGAATGGTTGTTGTTGTTGTTGAATTGTCTTGACAGATGCCACCAAAGAAGCGAACCAAGAATGTTGGAACCAGCTCTAGTCGGGCCACAGGTGCCCGATATCAGCCTCAATTCCCGAAGGACGAACAAATGATCACATACCTCGATTTGCTGAAAAAGGAGGTAGGCACGTTTCATTATCCTGATGAGCCCACCTTGACAGCCGCTGGGCTTCATGATGAGGTGATGACGCTACTCTGTCGGGGATGGTGGCAACACCTTTTCTTTGGCATCCGAGAGACCACATACAAAGAAGTAACTTGCGAAGTGTTGGCCACAATTAAGGTGCCTCGATCTATCAGTTTCTCCGATAACCACCGACCCCTAATCAAGTTCCGGGCCTTCAATGAGGACCATGCCATATCCATTTACAACATCCAGTGGCACTTAGGTTTTACCCGGATTGAGGATAGAGCAGATAATGAAGCAGGCTTGACTGATTTTCCACGAGATGTCGACCGCCAGAGGTTTTGGGAGAGCATTTCTAGAGACGGCGGCACTTATGACCCCCGGGACACCCCTAGCACCTTGTTGTATCCACGGGCGTACAGAGTTATCCATTCCCTCCTTTCATCCACCATCACTGGGAGGGCCGAGGTAGCAGGCAAGGTCTCCACTACAGATCTTTTGTGCCTTTATTGCATGATCCACAACAAGCTACCACACATGGGTGCTATCATTGCCGGCCTCTTCCACCGTCAGTCTACCTACAAGATCAAGGCTATCTTTTCTGGACCCTACATCACCTGCCTTCTGCGAGGGATGGGTTACGGCGACCACTTTGTAAACATGGATGAGAGTTCTTACTATGCGCCGTTGACTAAGCTTCCAGAGCTGAACACCGGAGTGGCCAGAAGGAGGCGCCTAGCAGAGCAGCCAGTTGAGGGAGAGCAGAGAGTACCGCATCAGGCGGGGATCCATATTCAGGAGGGCGGCGCAGCTGGCCACGTTGATGATGATGATGAGGAGCGCCACACTGAGGGGGGAGGAGCAGCTATGGACCATGATGCTGCTCATTCTATTCCTGTCATGCCACCTGCTTTTCAGGATGCTTTTTCGAGTTGGCATGAGGAGCAGAGGGCTTATCGTGTCGAGTGGAGGGAGAGTCAGCAGCGCCATCACAGGTCACTTTTTGAGAGTCAGCAGCGTTTCTTTGCCGATGTTCAGGCAGAGCGACAGAGACAGCAGGAGCTTTATCGCCAGATGAGGGCGGACCAGCAGGCATTCTTTCAGGAGGTCCGGGCAGAGAGGCAGACTTACCACAGAGAGCTCCAGCGGACCATTCACGAGGACATTACGACCGGGTTTTCCAACCTGCGCGTACAGTACGCGGAGTTGGACACTCGTGTCACATCCTTAGAGTCCAGCTGGAGTTCGTTCTTTGATGCACAGCAGCCACCGCCACCTCTAGAGCAGTAGTGATTTAGTAGATTGTTCGCCGTTAGCCTCTGTTCTCTGATTTTTGATGGATGACTGTTTCTATACTTTCACACTCACTCACTCACTCACTCACATTACTCTTTACTCTTTCTCCGTATTTCTTGGATTTTGTTTGTGTTTTGATGATTGCAGCTTACTAGTCCCGTGGATGAAATTGCCGAGTTCATTTCACACAGTTGAGTTCTACACCAACCATCGCCATAGGGAAGTTGCTTTGGTTCTTATTTTTGTGATAATGACTTGAGTTAATGTTGAGCACGCGTGACCCTTTCCTCTTTACCCCTAATACATAATGCATTTTTGGTCATCGAGGACGATGCCAAAGTTTAAGTGTGGGGGAGTGAATTGGGCATTCGGGCAGTAGTTGTCACATGTGATTTGTTAGGGTTAGCATGCGCAGGTGTTAGTTGTATATTCATATGAAATTCATGCAAAATTTTTGAAAATTTTTCTTTAAACTGTGTCTTTGTGAGTTGGCTAGCATTTTGACTATGCTTTTAGAACATCTTTGAAGTATTTAGGTTTAAATTGCTTACACTACAATCTAGTTGTTGAAAGGATGAAGGCATTAGTTACCCATTGAATTAATCCATTAATCATCCACCCTACCTGAGTAAGACCCTTTAGGAGAAGCCATTTTGAGCCTGACCGTTCTTTGTTTACCCAATTAATTTAGCTCCATAGCCAAATGGCCTGTTTCCTTACCCGTGAATATTTCTGACTTAGTCCTGATGTTTAGGGAATTAAGGGATTAATTTGATAAGTTTAGGGAATTTTGTGTAGGAGCCATTTTTGGCACTGTTCCTATGCTCCAAATGGGGTAAGAGCAATCACTTTTTAGGAATTTGATACTTTCGAGGATTGCATTGTAGGCATGGATTCACTTTTAAATTAATGAACTTTAATTGCTATTTTTCCTTGGTGAGGACGAGATTAGAATGGGGTAATGTCTAGTGAGAATCCGAAAGGTGAAAAATTAATATAGCTAGACCTCTTACTTTGCGAAAAAGAGAATGGGAACCCTGGTCAAAAAGCGTAAGATGAGACTTGGGTATCTTTCGAAAGAAACGGCGTTCTCGTGCCAACATGACAAGGAAAACTAAACTTAAATTAATGAACTTGGAGGCTATCTCAAAATTTAGCTTTAGTCCTCCGCGTACTTCAAGTATACGTCAAAGCACAAATGGGCCGAGACGGTTTAGCTTAGTTGTACACCATGTCTACTCTTTGCATAGGTTTAAATGATTGTTCCTAAATTGTGGCCTACTGAGTCCTTTGATTCTAAGAATAGCCCTGAAGTTCCTGAAAACATTGGATCTTTGTTAGAATATTCCTACCTCTCAAAATAAAGGGACTACTTTCATTATTATCCATTCACCATCAAATTCACAAGTCCTTCTGATCAGTAGCTAGCTTATTAGTGAAAGCTGTCATTACTTTGAGGATGTTGTGAATAATTGTGTCAAATAGTTTAGCTTGAGTACAAAGGTGTAGTTTAGGGAAAAATTTTCTTGATTTAAATTGTCTGTCCTGTGAATATCCCCTTAACTACGTATGTATGCTAACTGTTTTAAATTCCGTGTGGTGATTATCGTAAGTCCCGTTGTTCGATTTGCTTGAGGACAAGCAAAAGCTTAAGTGTGGGGGAGTCTGATAAGTCCGTATTTGGACACGCATTTGATGCGTGTCCGGGTCGGATTTTGATGATTTTCTCGGCTTTAAGGCGTTACAAGTCTCAAATTTGGCTCAAGTTGTGTTTAGCAGGCGTTGGATCGAGTTTCGTTGCATTTGGAGTTGATTTGAAGAAGTTAGAGTCCGGCAATCGGCGCTAAAGAGACAACCGGGAGGAGATAGAGAGCATTCAAGGAAGAATTGAGAGATTTGGAGGTCACCAGGTGATTCACGGCGAAATTTTGATGAAGAAAGAGCATTGGGATCGACCTCGTTTGAATCCGGGCACGTTTGGAGCAAGAAAACGAGAAAACGGAGCGAAAAAGTCAGACGCACGGTCGTGCGTCTGGGACGCACGATCGTGCGTCCATTACTAAACCGCGATGAGGCCTCTGCCTGCTACGCACGATCGTGCGTAGGCAGGGACGCACGATCGTGCGTAGCCCCGTGACACGCGCGGAAATTTCCTATTTCGGCCCAAATTCGGTTTTTTTCCCTTTTTTTCTATAAATAAGGTCTCCCTAACCCTTTTGAGGGGTTACGAACATTACGGAGAGGCCTAGGGACGAACTTAACACCGTTTTTACGCTATTTTCTTCCAAGACCCTGGGATTATTTGTAAGTTCATCTTTTTAATTAATGACAATTATTTCTATTCATCTCAATTCTGTTGATTCTTCAATTATGAATTGTGAGTAGTTTAATTAGGGATTTGGGGTTGATGAAGGGGTTAATCATGATTGATGGCTAGATTCTTGTCGGTTTAATTGCATGAATGCCGTTTAATTTGTGTATGAATAATTTAACTGATATCTCTTGTAACCTAGATGGCCACTAGAATTACAATTGCTTATAGAATAAATTAAGAGAGATCTAATTTGTTCTAGGACACATTCACACACACTTAATCGTTTGCTAAGAGATTAGTAGCGATTAAGGAGCCGTAAGCTCGCTCGTCTTGGCAATCATTTAGGATCTTGTCGCATGAGAGATCAGCCTGGTCCCCTAAATTATTGTACTCTACGCCGCGAGAGCGGTAAGAATTTAGTAATGATTAGCTAGGCTCAATTAAATTAAATTCATGTAAATTAGGCCTAATCTGCCAGAAATCTGGTTACCCCCGGAATCAGTCCCTGTTCCCTTCGTCGTTAATTGAGAAGAAACCACTTTTATTTTAATCGTTCATCTTCATTAGTTTAATATTAATTCACCAATCAATCTCGCACACTTGCATTTATTTATTTTATTTCTTTTTAATCGCTGAATTTAGTTAATCTTTAATTCCCTTTTGTCCGTCCCTGTGGAGACGATACTCGTACTTTCAACCACTATTCTACAATCTTTTTAAGTGCGAGAAAACACTCATCAATCTTCAGTCACATTAATACTTGAATATAAAAATAAATAATTTTTGTATACACTAACAAAAAAATTAAGCGCAAAAGAAACAATCCATAGAGCAAAATCGACCAAGACCAAGATACATGGATTTCAAGTAAGATAATTCAACACATTAGAAATGACCAAAATTGATTAATTGGTTAATTGATCAATTGGATTTCAACTACCTATCTAAATGACCAAAATTCATTAATTGGATTTCAAACAGAAAACAAGTCAATGAGTTGAACCTGGGCGTGTTGAACAGATTAAGTGGCCATTTGTTTCCTCACACTATACTTAGCCCACTCACCTTATGAGTCTGCCAACTTCATTTAGTAGCACAATGAAGACTCTGCATCCCATATATAAATCAAGTGTGTAACATAGACTGAAAAGTAAAATTGGATTTTGTGTTCAATGGAAAACTTCACCGATCGAAAGAAAAAGATTTAGATAACTTATCTGTGAATTGATGGACTGAGAAACCTGGAACACAAGGTCAAACAGCTCTTCAAATATATGGGTAAACTCTTCTCGCGCGAATTGAAATGTTGGAGCTATGATTGGAGTTATAGATGGCTGGTGTATGTGCATATCTGAAGATTTTTAGATTTTTTGTAGAAAGTGTCGACTGTCGACATAGAGAGGCTGTGTTTGGCTAGGAGGCGTGTTAGCTATTGGGAATGTGTAGTGTTTGCTTAATCCGTATAATGAAGCGGTGGACGGTGATGGGATAATGAGAAATTGGAGATGCTGTTTGGGCAGACGGCCAAGTATATATTATGGTTGATTTTTCATATGCTTAGGTGTGATTTTTTTAAAAATTAGAGTAAAGTAACAACAAAAAATTGAACTATTTCTACGTCCTTTTAAGCACACACATATACACACAGTATATGTTATTCTTTGACTAACTAATACGGTGAATGCATTTTTAGAAACAACACGTCAAATAATGTATCCAAGGAGCGTTGAATAATGGTAATAATTTCCAAGTATTAATATTTAATAATACGAGTAATAAACATATACGTAGTATAAAATATGGAACCATTTTAATGTCACACATGTTTTAAAGTAGTCTCGGTAATAATGCTTTGGAAGCAAAAATTTTAACAGGAATAAGTATAGGAGAAAAAGTGTTGATACCAGGGATGAAGACTCCCTTGGATATGAGAATTTGGAAGAGATAATTTGAATTTACAATCCATTTTATTTTTCAAATTGAATTTTGCACCTGTTTTTTTTTTTTTTGTGTTTGCACCCCAACCCCGAATGAGTAGACAAAAATGTCCCTATATTAGAAATATGCTGAAGGCCAACAGAATTGTTAATGGAGGGGCATTTTGTCTTTTCATACAGGGTTGAGGTGAAAATGCAAAAAAATAAAAATGAGGTGAAAAATTCAATTTGGACCATAAAATGGGGGTGCAAACTCAAATTACCCCAATTTGGAATTCTGAAAATTGATATGATTACGAACATGTTTGGAAATACAATTATCCAAGAAAATATGTCCTGTGCATCGCACGGGTACTATACTAGTTTCCCTCACAATTCTTAAGCAAGAATAAGCATTCCATCTTGTATGCACTACATATTACACTATCAAATCTATACAATTAAATATGGGTCGCATATTGCCGCTCACCATAGCTTTAGCCATTGTAGTTGTAGCCCTAGCTGCTTCTCCATTGGCGCGTGGATATGACCCCGACAAGTTGCAGGACTTTTGTGTGGCAATCAAAGACTCTGACGCTAGTGGTACGCATTTAATCAACAACTTTGTTATTCTCTTTGTCTAACAAGTTTCTAAATAAGGTTTTCGTTATGTAACGTGACAAAATAAAGTTTCATTGTCCTAAATAGCAAATTTATAATATTTCAGCATCATGAATACCCTCGATACGTATCTCTTGTAGTAACTTCTTTCATTGCATGTGGCAAGGGTGAGGGGATTTTGGATGATCAAAGTGACAACTTGATTATATTTAAGAATTGACGGACGGAAAACTAAAATAATCATTTCTCACACACACATATGATTCAAATAAAAAGAATCATTCTCATATACTCCTCCCTCCGTCCTTATATGAAAGACACATTTACTTTTGCACTCATCTTTAGGAGGATCACTGTTTATTAGCACTATTTGACACTGTTTTGCGTTGTTTTGTTTGTCAAAAGGGAAATGAGTCTTTTATATAGGGACAACCCAAAAAAAGTGTCTTTTATATAGGGACGGAGGGAGTCAACCTATATAGAATTTGGAACAAATAAAAAAAGTCTTAACGTGTGAAGTGAGAATTAATCTCAGCCGTCCAAACTGTCGATCTGATGCACAATAACCCCTATTTGATGCACTTTCGAATAGACCTTATTTGATGCACTTTTCGAAAAGTGCATCAAATAAGGTCTATTCGAAAGTGCATCAAATAGGGGTTATTGTGCATCAAATCGACTCTTTGAACGGTTGATATTAATTCTCATTTCACACGTTAAGATGTCTTCTCATTTGAACTCATCCGGTAAGGTATACCATACCGGAGCCGCTATGCGGCCTCCACGTTCTGAGGGCCTTCCCGGTGTAATTTTTCGATGAAATTTTTTGAGAATGTTCTTCATCAAGTCTAGTACATCCATACCAGATTTCAGCAAAAACGTCAATCGGGAAGGCAGTCAAATGATTTTTGGAAGATAACTGCACCCTTTATATACATATAAAACACAGTTATCTTCCAAAAATCGTTTGACTGCCTTCCCGATTGAATTTTTTGCTGAAATTTGGTATGGATGTACTAGACTTGATGAAGAACATGCTAAAAAAATGTCATCGAAAAATTCCACCGGGAAGACCCGGCCCTCAAAACATGGAGGCCGCACGACGGCTCCGGTAAGGTATACCTTACCGGAATTATTTCCTATATATATATATATATATATATATATATATCAAATAATCATCTATTGCGGAGTAATTTGTTGTAAATCATAGATAGTATGTGATAGAAACTAGAAAGCCCAATTTTAAAATACTTTTTAAAGGATTAAAATACGTACTACGTATTTGTTTTATTTATATGAATAATATGTGTGGTATATAAACATTTATATCAATTCTATCTTTTTAGAAGATCTCATTCATGCAATATTTCATTGCACGTGCGTAGAACGTACTATAGCAAGTAGAAATGAAGAACACTTTGAGTGGTAACACTGAGATTAGTTTAATCATGAAATGACTAAATATGCTGATGAATTATAAGAACTTATATTTCAAATGCATTTTTTAATTAAAAAAATAATAATTTATGAAAAAAGGTAATTAATTCCAATAGTCTTCTTAAACCAATCAGCCAACTGACTGAACTGAGTGAGAAAAGTACCTATAATCCTTTTTTTTGGGGAAAGTTCCCGAAATAGGACTAAAACAGTTTGGAAATTCCAAAATAGGACTGTCATGTTTTTTATTCCCAAAATAGGAGTAATTACTGCCAAGTTTGAAGTCTGGTACTGCCAAAACATGACAGTAATTAGTCCTATTTTAGGAATAAAAACATGGAAGTCCTATTTTGGAATTTTCAAACCTTTTTAGTCCTATTTTGGGTAATATCTTTTTTTTTTTTACAAAATTAGAGACCGAAAATAAAAATTAGTGTTTTGTAAAGATTTGAAGTTGGACGACTAGATGAGAATAGAGGCTACTAAGAAGCTGTTCCGTTCACCTGATCTGAATGTTTCTGATCTGAATTTTTTAAGTTCTGATCTGATCTGAATTTTTCTGATCTGATCTGATCTGATCTGAATTTTTCTGATCTGATCTGATCTGATCTGAATCTTTCTGATCTGATCTGAATGTTTCTGATCTGATCTGAATGTTGCTGAACTGATCTGAATGTTGCTGATCTGAATGTTTCTGATCTGATCTGAATGTTTCTGATTTGATCTGAATTCTTCTGATCTGAATCTTTCTGATCTGATTTGAATATTTCTATAATTATAATTATAATTATAATTATAATTATTAGATTTATAATTGTAATTAAAAATATAACTTAAATAAAATTACAATTATAATCATAATTATAAAAAAATAATAATTAAAATTAAATTTAAAATTATAATAATTATACCAATTACACTAATTATAAATACAGATACAATTATAAATGTAATTATATTTTTAATTATGATTAATTTTATATTTATTTTTTTTTGTAATTATAATTATAATATTTATCTCTATAATCATAATTATATCTATAATTACTAATTTAAATATATAATTACTCCGAAGTA